ACTTTTTACAATTTATCTGTTAAAGTGGAAAATTTTTGTATTCTTGAAAGTTTCTTACGTAACTATTTGCAGGATTTATTGGCTTTACGATTACAAAGATTAGCACCTTTGTTAGCTCATACTGATAAAGCACTCTTTGTTAGCGCACATTAGTGTAAGACTCTTTGGGTACATTGCTAAACAATGAGCATATATACAATTCTATGCAGTGATAACATCACATTCATACAGAAAAAACTCATGATTTAACATGGTATATGCAAATTAATACGTGTGCTACATATTCCTCTTCCTTTATCACGGAATTTTTTCGCGTTTATTCGCGACATCTGTTAACAAAAGATTTTTTACACGGATTTATATATATTTCAATTCAGCAATTAAAATGTTTTTGTTTCAACATGGTTTAAATTTTGTCGTTTTTAGTGACAGCAATTCATACTTTGCTGATTTGCTTAATTACTCACTGAAATACCGTTGATTTTGTTGTTATTTGGTAAACAATTAATTCATAAATAAATGATAATTCATAAAGATCGTATGATAGGACAAAACAGGTCATCTGTTCGTGTAAAGGCAAATGAGGTATTTGAGGTCAACGTATGGAAGTTTCATTTTTGCACACAGTATCAACAAACTCCATCAAGGAATTATAGAAATACCTGAGCTAAATTTTGATGGCACATTCATAATATGTGTCAAATCAGTGATTTCATCAGATAAATCCATCGAGTGTTTCTTGCTCTGAGACATGTTTCCTCTGAGACATGAGATCAGATAATTTAATTTTTGAATATCGGGTATTTTTTGGAAATGCACTGTGGCATCAAAACTATCCCAGAATTCTCTCCATGATTTTGGGTCACCATTGAATGTTGGTAGTGGTAACTGTGGCAAATTTACTATCTGCTGAGACATTTGGGAGAGCTCCTTCTGTTGAAATCGTTCGTTATTTATCATGCTTTGCTGTAGGCGTTGTACCGCTACCTCAAACTCATCCTTGTACATATCTAGAGTTATAATAGCTTGCTTCTTGACCATCATTTATTAAATTCAAAAGACCTTTATCATCGTCGACCATATCCGCGTATTTGTCTTCTTCTTGTTTTCTTTTCTGTGCATTCTTTTGTTTCTGAATATACTCCGACCATTTTTCGTTGATTGATCCAAGTGTACCAACATAGAGTTTTAGACGCCCTATTTTTTCTTCTATAGTCCTTCTCTTGAGTTCGAGTTGCTCCACTGCTAAATGTTGATCAGGAAGCGTTAGGTCCATTGCTTTTACTTCGTCGAGAAGATCCTCTAACTTTTGCTTTGCCGGTTGAGCACTTTTGATTATAGTGTCCGACATTCCCGGCTCGTGGCACCAAAAATTTGTTGGGAAATTGTTTTTCTGTTGAACTCGTTTCTCGGCGATACAGATTTATTCGGGAGGTAATACTGTTCTTCCATAATATTACTAGTTAACAACAAGAAAAAAGAGTATAAAATATGTATGTATATAACACGATGAATTGGTAAGCAATGATAAATGAGTTACACAAAAAACAAGTAATATGATCAACTAACAAACTCCTTATCGTTGCCTTGGACAATAATCTTACCGGAACTAAATGATATTCTTAAACACAAGCATTGTGTTGAAATGACTGTTTTTGAATGAAATAGATAAGCTTTCAAGGAATTTTCTTTTTTTCCAATTACCGTACCTTTCAACTTTTTATCTTTCCAATTGTCCATCTTTCCCTCTCATATCTTATCTTGAAAGAAATCATCTTTCGCACGTGTACACTGTATGATGAATCAATCATTCACCTGTCATACTTTGCAGGAATCCAGTTCAATTTAATTGCTAAATGATTCCTTTTATTTTCTTATTTTGATAAAATTTATTTCTCACACTGGTATCGATGGTACCAATTGATTTTTCTTCTGATCAATCTTTTTTCTAAATCAACCCAAATCAAATTTAATGTATCGATTTTTTCCTTATTCTTTAATATCTTTCTATCATTCCATTAATACTTATCAGATAATATATACGTTCATCAATAGTACAATGATAAACGTTATTCTTTAATTACTTGTTTATAATTTATCACCTGAAATTATTATAAAAGAAAAAAGTCGAAACAAAATTTTAAATAAATTAAAAAACAAACAAATAAATCAAAAAAATTCATAAAGAAATTTCTTAAATAAAATTGAAACATTCATTAGAGATAGTTGAAAATATAGAAATGGAAATGAAAAACTTAGTCTTGAACCTCCAATACATCAGAACTTTCACCATTTAGTGAGTTTTTACAATGGATATATCATATCATATACAGTATCATTCTTTTTTCTTAATGAAATGCTAGATAACAATGAATTTAATCAGATGCTAGATAACAATGAAAAAGATATCATATCATATACAGTATCATTCTTTTTTATACAGAAATATATAAAAACAACAATCCTAAAATTAATAATATAAATATAATATTCCTAAAATGCTATTAATGCTTCACTTTTACATTTCAATATGAAAATTTTTTAAAATTGCAATATTCTTCCTTTCCAAACAAAATGTGAAGACGAAAAGAATACAAATTCAATGAAACTATTTGTTGTATAAAAGTATGAAATGCGTAGATCATCTTTGGTCAGTAGGACAAATAGTTAACTTCGTCCTAATCCATAAATCTTCATATCTATTGGGAATGATTGTTAGTTTTTAGTACTGATCCGGTAAAATGTTCCTAGTAAGCAATCAAATATCTTTTTTTCTTGATAATATCGTTATCACTTTCCAAATTTCCATTTATTTATATTTCCAGTTTCTCGGGGGTTTTTTTTCCGTTATTGTTTTCCAAATGAATATTTCTTTTACCATTTCTATTAGCGTTTGTTTAACTATGTAAAATTCAGTAAATGTATAAAAGCTTTCATGATTACAATGAATATATCATATTGCCATAATCTCCGCATTAATGATATGATAACATTTTTATCAGTTAAATTACGTGGAACTTCGAAACAAGAAGAAATTAAACAAGGATAAAATTTC